ATTTTATAAAAATCTAACTAATACTCTTTTTGTTTTTTTTTTTTTACTGTCATATGCTAAATGTAGGGATGAGTTGCTAAAATAACAGAAAGTTGACACCATATGATGTTTTTTGACTTTAGTATAGATAAAAAGGCCTCATAAGTCAAATAATAATAATAATAATGAAAAGCTAATATCGTATGAGAGTAAGAGTTAAATTTAAAGTTATTTATTTAATCTAATTAGTTATTTTTATTAAAATTAATTATATTAAACCTTGATTTTTGTGTTAAAAAAATTAATTTTTTAAAACCAAACTAACATATTCTTTAATCTGACTTTCCCAAATTCCTTTTTTTTTTTTTGGGGGGTGAAAACTTTCACAAATTCTTTATCTAAAGAAACTCGCCAATCATACAGTCCCTCAATTTAAATTTAAAGATGAATTTGCCGTCGCTACTCTACAGTTGGAGTGAATTAGGGGTTCACTTCAGCCATACTTTTGAATAAGGGACAGAGAAAAGGGGTTGAATTGAAAACAAAAGAGGAAAAGGAATAATTAAAGATTTAAATATTTTAGTGATTATTGATTTTTGTTAAAAGTAAAAAATTTTAAATTTGACTCATATCTTATATAGATAGAGTGAGATAAAAGATAATAAATTATTATTTTTTATTATATAACCAATAAATATATATAGATAAAGGGAACTAGGGAAGGCAAAGAAACGAAATGATTATCCAAAAAAGAAAGAGAAAAGGAATGATTTAATGGGAGGTGGACGAAAAGGGAGCAAAATGTCTGAGAGAGCAAAGGAAGGACTAAGCAGCTGTAAATTAACCCACGAACAAAACAGCTGTCTGCATCTCAGAAAAAGAGTGGGTGGGAGGAATCTCTCAGACCTGAGCTTAACCTTGCTTTATCGTATTCCCTTCATCTCTTGTGGCGGCATACTCAAAAGCTCCAATTAGACAGAACTAGCTTTACCATCCCTTCACACCCCCAGACCCAAGGAATGCGTGCGATCTTTCCTCTTATTATTATTGTTATTATTATTATTATTATTATTAATTTTTTAGTACAAAAAATTATGAAAAATGAGAAAATTTTTAAAATTATTAATAAAAATTAATCAATTAAATCTCAAGTACTTTGTTGGTAAAAGTTAAATTTTTAATCAATTAAATCTTAAATATTAAGACTTGAAAATGAATTATTAAA